TAAACCGTCTTTCGAAATGCTAAATTAATAAATAATAACAGTGCTCAGATATATTGTTACCAAATGTGGAGGGGTCACCTAAAACTCCATGTGCCGTTAAAGCCAGGCTCCGGAGGAAAAAAAAAAATATATGTTGTAGAACTGATTTTTCTAAGACAGAATAAAGTTTTTTGACGAAAAACTGGGGAACGTGAATGAGATACAGATTTTTAAATATTTAAAAACTGGGAGAAAAAGGGGCGTAACTGCCCATTTTTACACCTTATTCCCCCAGTTTTTAAATATTAAAAAATCTGTATCTTATTCACCGTTCCCCAGTTTTTCGTCAAACAACTTTTTTCTGTCTTAGAAAAATCAGTTCTACAACATATCAAAACATTTTTTTTCTCCGGAGCCTGACTTTAAGGGGAAAAGCAGGTTGGACAGCAGCTTTGTTATTATAGGACGATACAGGGGTCCGATAGACTATTGGTTAAAATGTTAAGATTTAATATTCGCTTTTAAGTTTTATTAAAAAAAAAAAAAAATTACAAATGTGTATTAAGTACATCTTCGACTGTCTTAAAAATTTGGACCTTGTCGATTTGTTGTAGAATGTTGGGAAACGTACTCGGCCACTCATATTAAAATAACGCTTTATTAACACTTTACATAATATAAGGTAGGCCTATTAAATCAATCAACAATCAATTTTATTTTTCTGAATGTGTGTTCCTATACCTCATGGAGGTATGAATGTCATAGAGTTTCCAAAAAGTGTTTTTAATCCAATGAGATTTATACTTAATTAGGCCTAACTTAGTTTGAATGTATTCTTACTAGTTCAATTTCTTTTATTTCAGTGTCTGAGGTCAAATCTACCGATCCATCAATGAGTGCGAAGTCGATGTACAATCATTGTCAGCGGAACACATGTGTAAACATTGCCGGAACACAAGGTGCTATCAATAGTCGGATTTATGAGGTCTTAATTTGACAAATAATTGTACGCGGATATTTATTATGACTTATATCACTGGATCGCCAGAATTGAATCAAATTTGCCAATTATGTTTCTTATAGAACGTAATTCTCGAACGATATTTCATACTTAAAATATATTTAGGCCTAAGCATCATAATATTATATTATATAAAACTAGAATCTTTATATTCTATTTATATTACGTTTATATAGTTCTGATGTAACATTTCCGAGTATGTATGTAATAAAAATAAACTGAAGTGTAATTTATAATACATCATTGTGTGCACTTCCTTTGTCGTAGTTGCATTAATAATAATATTATATATTTCATGATTATTAATCAGTATATAATCGAATTAAATATATTATAATCACTTCGAATTCGAATATAGCACTACTACAGGCTACTATATCTAACACTTTTTTTTAAATATATTCACATATGATACCAACAAATTTCGAAACTTTTCAGAGTAAGGTGCTGTCGAATTTTACAAAACAGGAAATGACGTCGGTTGCTAGGCTGCAGCTCATGCATATTCAGTAACACCTGTGCTCATTAGACTAACAATAAAAACTTTTAGCTCAGTTTTGACAAAATCGACCAAAAAGATTTTATTGTTAGTCAAATTAGAACAGGTGTCACTGAATATTCATGATTATTCATAAGCTTGTTGCTTAGAAACCACGTCATTTCCGGTTTTATGTTTTTGTTGAGGGCGTCAACTTCGAATTCGAATATAGCACTACTACAGGCTACTATATCTAACACTTTTCTAAATATATTCACGTATGATACCAACAAATTTCAAAACTTTTCAGAGTAAGGTGCTGTCGAATTTTACAAAACAGGAAATGACGTCGGTTGCTAGGCTACAGCTCATGCATATTCAGTAACACCTGTGCTCATTAGACTAACAATAAAAACTTTTAGCTCAGTTTTGACAAAATCGACCAAAAAGATTTTATTGTTAGTCTAATTAGAACAGGTGTCACTGAATATTCATGATTATGCATAAGCTTGTTGCTTAGCAACTACGTCATTTCCGGTTTTATGTTTTTGTTGAGGGCGTCCACGAAAGAATTGCTAGTTCAATAATTGAAGTAGCACATAGGCCTGTTGATGAAGCAATTCTTCACTTTTGGTTTAAGCTTATAATAAGGATATTTTAGCTATTGAGTTTATTATAGTAAACACAGACATTAAATAAGATGAGAAGAGATGCACAATTCCATTTGATATTTATTTTGCTAGTTCAATAATTGAAATAGTACATAGGCCTATTGATGAAGCAATTCTTCACTTTTGGTTTAAGCTTAATGATATTTTAGCTATTGAGTTTATTACAGTAAACACAGGCATTAAATAAGACGGGAAGAGATGCACAATTCCATTTGATATTTATTTTCAAGCATTGAAATCAAGTTGGGATATATGTATACATTTTATATTTATATAATGTATGTCTATGTCATGTACATCCGGCAAAAATCAATAGACCTGATTTTAATCCTCAAAATGTTATATATTATTATCTTACATGTCTATATTCTTTACAACAAACGGGTTACTTAATTAAAAAGATAAACATTAGCAGTAATAATACAATATTAATAAACATACAGCCTACAAGAACATTTAAAAAATAAAATTCACACTATATGTTAATTAATTTCATATCCAGAAGCTTGATGACTGACACAATTTTTGGCTGTCTATGAATAATTGTTATGTTCTGTTGACCTTTCAGTCCAGAGATTCTTTCCAGATACCGTAGTTGTGGCTTCTTTGTCTACGTCATTGGAATAAAAAAAATATTGAGAAAAGATTATGAAACAGAGAAAGAATTATAATGGAGTATCATCAAAACAATATATAAATAAAAACAGTGGCAGATCCAGGAGTTTGAAATAGAGGGGGCCCACAGGGAGGGACATTGCCAAATGAAGGGTTTCCAACCATGTTGGGGCTGAGGTAAGAAACTTATCGATTATGGCACCTCTAGATGGCCAGAAATGGCACTCTCAGATTTGAAATTTGAATGTAATTTTCTATTTTTTTCTCCAATTTTTTACCATTTTAAAAGATTTAGGGGGTGGGGGGAAATCCGCCACTGGAAAATTAGTGTGCACTCCAACCTTAAAATTATCGTATTCAGTTATCGCTATGGACAATGCTACTGATAGAACATAACATAATAGTACTTCACAATTATTATCCTATTAGCATTATCATATTAAGTATTCATTATTTATAGTATCATCATATTACGGAATGATGTGAGGATTATTAAATACAAGTGGTATTGGGTAGAGCTAGTAGATCGCAATAGCGCAAACAAATTATGTTAGCATTCCGATCATGGGTAAATAACATTTATAAAAAGTGTACTATTCGATAGAAATGAATACAATAGATTCATAAATAGAGTATATTCAAACAATAAACATAATACTATAACTACAGTATATCTTCATAAGAACATTTTTCATGATATAATATTTTTTTAATGATTGATTGAATTTATTCGATGCTCAACATGCACAAGCACGATAACAAATGGATTGAGATCAAAGGAAGTAAAAATTACCGAGCATCAGGAACACCCATTAGGCCGGAGTCCAGCCCATTTCCAATGAGGTCCAATTTGAATATACGCCTGTCTGTCATGAGCTGAAAGATAAACAATGTATTTCACATTTCGACTTTCTTTTGGAGGGGCGCCATGAGCGTTACCTGTTAAACGGATACCGGCGCTTTATTTAATTATTATCATTCTTATTCTTATTTATTTACTTATTATTATTATTATTATTATTATTATTATTATTATTATTATTATTATTATTATTATTATTATTATTATTATTATTATTATTATTATTATTATTATTATTATTATTATTATTATTATTATTACTATCATTAGGCCTATTATTATTATTATTATTATTAGGCCTATTATTAGGCCTATTATTATTACTATCATTAGGCCTATTATTATTATTATTATAGGACTATATAAAATGCTCAACTGCTCTGTATATTTGAAAAGGGGAAGTGTGCAACCGCCCCCCGCCGAAATTATTTAAAAATTAATTCAAAAATGGAGGAAAAAATGAATATTTTATTCATATTTAAGTCGTTTCCGGCCATCTAGAACATGGACCATTGAGGTGACATAATCATAATTCTATATGTGAAAGTCCCCCCCTGGATCCCCTCTATTTCGAATTTCTGGATCCGTCACTACGTAGTAGCTTTATATGATATCGACATCATGGAATTACCGTAACCATCCATGAAGATATTAATATCAGTATTGATAAAGACGGTGTCATTTGGCCCTACCTCGATCACTTTCGCTGTCCTTTAAAAAATAATATAGAAAATATTTTTGTCGAGCTATAACCCGGGCTATAACAAATTTCGATTATTCAAGTTTAAAAGTTGTGCACCAGATAATTATAGACCCTTGGTAATAAATTGCATATAATGCCAATTAAAATAAAACAGATATTACTCTGCAATGTAAACAACGAACGGAAGTTAGCAAGCCCCAAGCTGTAATTACTGTAAATAACGTTTCTTTAGCCAGTTTGGTGGTTTTAGCAATTCACTTTGGATGTATGCAGCTATGTCAGTGCATGCTTCTGTCGAGGAAACTGTCAATGCCATCAATGCAGCTGCCTAACAAACTTAGTAAAAACAATAACTATAAAATGATGGCAGAATTCCCATTTAACTAGTGAATTAACGATGCAAAATGTTCAATACTGTACTCACATTTGTTATTAATTGTAAAGTCTCCTTCGTAGTCCATTGAGTACCGGTAATGTTTATATGTAAAACGCCACCTGGAGTGGTATAAAAACTATTAATTATTCTTTTTCTAATGCGCCATTCCTTAATGACGATAAGAATGATGAGGGTGATGATGATAATGATGATGATGATGATGATGATGATAATAATAATAATAATAATAATAATAATAATAATAATAATAATATAATAATAATAATGATAATGATAATAATAATAATAATAATAATAATAATAATAATAATAATAATAATAATAATAATAATAATAAAAATGATGATGATGGTGGTGGTTATGATGATGATGATTACGGTTGATGATTACGATGATGATGGCGATGATGATGATAATTATTATCATGTTGATGATTGTAGGATAAGAATCGACTTTAAAAAAATGACTCCGATGGAATCAGTATAGGCTGTTATGTGACAATCAAAA